TTCTTCCTTCCTGATGCCTGGAATGCAAATATGAAGGCTGGAGCTGGAGTAGCCACATTTCACCATGAGATAAGGCACCTGGTTCCCCAAGGCTGTGTAAGCTGCCAGCCTCGAGAGACAGGAAACCCCTGTGTTTAGCATGGTTATCTGGGGGTTCTGGGACCTGTCCTGGGCTGAAGAAGGACGCACTCTGACTTGGTTAAAACCACAGCTCCTGATTCACAGGCAGGGTGCTCTCTGGTCAGAGGAACAGGGGCCCGCAAGGACAGCTTTAGAATCACCAAGCCTGTGGGGTAACACTTCTCAAAAGCCCCTCTCCTTCCCTAGCCTCTTCTCTGCAGCGCTGTTCTCTGTGAACTGCCCTGAAAACCCTTCCCCGGCTGGCGCCTGGGGAACTCCTGCCCTATGAGGCTGGCGGAGTTCCCCGGAAATCCCCGGAAGCCCCCCCCACCCCCGTTCCCCTTCCCCAGCCCCTGATTCGGCACCACTAAGGCCCAAGGTGGGAGGGCAGGGCCAGAGCCCAGCTGGGGGTGGGCGGGAGGCGCTGGGGGGCAGGAGAGGCTGGGAGACCCCGTTGAAGGAGGAAGAAAAGATCATCTTAGCGAAGGGGATCAGGCCTCAGAGGGACAGACTGACGCACATGACGCAGGGCTCCCTCCAGGTGGGCAGCATCCGCAAGTTGATGGGCAAAACTCGCCATAGTAACAAATCTAAAGAGACAACCTGTATCATCATCCCCAGAGGCAGGGTGGAGAACTCGCCCAGTGGGGGGCAGTTTGAGTAGCCTCAAGAAGGTTGACTAGGGTGGACTGGGACATGTTGAAGATGTGAAAATCCGTGAGGCTCGCACACTCGTGTTCACAGCAGCCCTAGTCACAGCAGCCAAAAGGGGACGGCCACCCGGTGTCCACCGACGGCTGAATGGATAGACAACACATAGTAAATCCACACAGTGGAGTATTATCCAGCCATGAAAAGGAAGGAGATTCCGACACACACTACAACACGGATGAACATGAAGGACATCATGCTAAGAGAAATAAGCCAGGCCTAGAAGGACAAAGACTGCGTGACCCACTCATGTGAGGCCCCTGGAGTCGTCAGAGTCGTAGACGTAGAGAGCAGGATGGTGGGCGCCAGGGGCGGGGGGAGAGCATGGGGAGACAGTGTTTCACGGGGACAGAGTTTCAGGTTGAGAAGGTGGAGGAGTTCTGGAGGTGGACGGTGGCGGCGGCTGTGCAGCAACGTGAACGTACCTGAGGCCGCTGAACTGTATACTTAGAAGTGGTTAAAATGGTAAATTTCATGTTATGCATCACTTACCACAGTAAAATTTCTGTGAGTCCTGAGGCTGGCCGCGTGGCCGAGTGGCTAAGTCCGCGTGCTCCACTTCGGTGGCATGGGGTTTCACCAGTTTGGGTCCTGGGTGCAGATTTGGCACTTCTCGTCAAGCCGTGCTGAGGTGGCGTCCCACATGGCATGACTGGAAGGGCTACAACTGGAATATGCAATTAGATACTGGGGGGCTTTGGGGAGAAGAAGAAGAAGAAGAAAAAAGAAGACTGGCAACAGATGTTAGCTCAAGGCCAATCTTGAAAAAAAAGAATCTATGAGTCATTTTTTTCTTTGGAGGAATAATAACCCTGAGCTAACTGCTGCCAGTACTCCTCTTTTTGCTGAGGAAGACTGGCCCTGAGCTAACATCTGTGCCCATCTTCCTCTACTTTGTATATGGGACGCCTACCCCAGCATGGCTTGATGGGCGGTGTGATGTCCGCACCCGGGATCCGAACCAGCAAACCCTGGGCCGCCGAAGTGGAACGTGCGCACTTAACTGCTGCACCATCAGGCTGGCCCACTATGAGTCCTTCATGATACTCAGAGAGAGAGCTAGAATCAAGCTGTCAGCTCCCACTGGAGGAGCCCGTCACCCCGCCCGTGGGGAGCCACGCCCTTTCCACACCAGCCCCCAGCTGATGACGTGGAAGCACCATTCAACTGGAAACTCACCACTTAGAAACCTAATGGAGTGTTCTACGTGGCGGGATTAGGCGTGAAGGAGAAGCTCCTGGGACAGGTGACGAGGGTGCAAGGAGTGACATCTGCGTGTGCCTCGCTGTGGAGGAATCAGAGAGAGCCGTGAGCCTGCTGCTTTGTTGTCACTTGCTCTGCAGAGGTACCGTCACCAGACGCGCTCTGCTGAGCCACCAAGGCGTTAGAACAGCTTCTAGTCACTGGTGATGGAGGAGCACGTTAAATGACCCAGAAGGACCTAGCCAAGCAAACCCAGAGTGCGACATTTCCTGAAACAACCCAGTCAGGGTGAGGGTCAGGGTCAAACTGCTTCCGACTGAAAGACACTTCAGAGCTGTGGCACCCGATTGTGATGCTGTGCCTCAGCTAGCACCCCGGCTTGAAGAACTCACGGGAAAACCTCTTGAGGACCACTGGGGAAGCTGGCAGGGCCGGCACAGTGCGCTTTGGGCCAGGAGGACGGCTCTGCGACATGCAGGGTGCTTGGTTCTGGGGGTGAACTCAGGAGTGTCGAGTGCCGGGTCCTTCTGCGTTTTGCTTAGACACCTGGACGCTTCTGGATGAAGCCCACCTGGGAAACTCCTTACATGCGAGGAATCTGGTGGTGGTCACACGAGGCTTCATGACTCTCCTTTTTTCCGTTATAAAGTCTTTAGAAATGGGAAGGAGAGTGGACACAAGGTGCAGGGATGTGCAAATTCCCCTGGGCAGCTGCCCGGAGAGCGCGGAGCAGGACGGCAGACGAGGGGTGGAGCTGTCCGCCCTTCTCCATCTTCTGAAGTTGAAAGCGGTGAGTGCAGCCTGTTCACAGCGGTGGACGGTTTGCCCCTGTCTTGGATGACAAGCATCAGAGTGCAGGCAGGGTGCATGGGGAAGCCCTTCCAGGTTTCTCGGGCACATGTCCAGCGGAAGCTGGGCATCATGGAAGCAAGTGACTCTCTTCTTGAGGGGACCCCAGGGGCAGTGTCAAAGCGGGTTGCAGGGTCCCCCTTCTGCTACCTGGAAACCCTCAGCCCTCAGGAAAAAGGCCAGAGCCGTGGCCAGGCCAGTGTTCTCCACTCCCGACTCAGCTGGGCCCCTCTGCCCCTCTCTTCCCCGAAGCCATCCTCACACACGCCCGCTTCGCTGGTCAGGAATTTGTGTGCAGGAGGCGGCAACGTGGGCCCTGGGGGTGGGGGTGGGCACAGCCACGGGGTCTCAGCTCACTCACTCGGCCCCTGCCCCCCAGGGGCCCAGCCATCCTTCCCAGACCCCATCGAGGCCCCCATGGGGAGGATCAGCTGGCCTACCTGGGATTGGCTGCCATCCCTGGCCCACCAGCTGTGGCACAGAGGGTGACACCACCTGGGTTGGATCTGTGCTTCATACCTGGACCCACAAGCCAGGGTGTAGGGAGCCCTAAGTTGGGGTGCAGAAGGGAGCAAGGCCAGCATGAATTGACAGTTGTCTGTTGCCATCCCCGGGGCACCTGGCCGGCTGGCCCGATGTTGGCTCTGCCCTGACTAGGCCTGACCTCCCTCAGATCCTGGGGCCTCTGGAGGTGGCTCCCAAGGGACGGGGGGTCTTGAGTCCACCCAGAGTCTCAGTCCACTGGCTACTGCTCGTTCTGGAAGGACTGTCCTGGGCCTGAGCCCCCATGAGGTAGGTGACTCCTTGGGCGGTGGCCTGTGGTGGGTGTCACAGCCCCCTTGGCAGGTGTTTCCAGAAGGCTGGAGTGAGCCCAGTGCTCAGACCCACGTATGCTCCATGCCCTGCTTTCTAGGAACTTGCAGCCATGCACCCCGCTCTGAGAGATCACTGCTCAGGGTGGAACCAAGAGGAGCCCTGTGACCTGAGGTGGGCTGTGACCCAAATGCTCCCAGAGGAAGGACTGAGTAGGGGAGCACCCTCCACGGGGCTCCCCGGGCCTGGAGATGCCTCTGCTGGCCGTGCCTGTGACAGGGCTGGGCACTGCCACCCCAGAAACATGGCGGGCCCAGCCCCAGCCCACAGCTGAGGAGCCTGGCTGAGTCAGGCCTCGGCGGTGTGCGCAGGGAGGGCCTGCACGGCGCCCTGGTCTCACCCGCGCCCCAGAACCAGCCCGTCGGGCAGAGGCGGTCCATCCAGGAGGCAGTGGGTTGGCTTCAGGCCTCGCGCTCGCCAAGGAAACTGGGCTGTGTGTTTGGATCCAAGATGTTCTAGCCTTTAGCCTGGGGTCCTGTAAGCCAGGGAGAGACAAGCCACCGTGCCTGCCAAGGCCTGAAGTGCCTCAGTGAAGGACACTGTGTCCTAGGGGACCCTGTGTGGCCCCTCACGGAGAAATCCACCAGCACAGGCCACTAGGCCCTGCTGGGGTCAGCTCAGGGGCTCAGGGGCAGAGACAAGGACAGAACGTGTTAGCCCCTATCCTCGGGCAGGACCCCGCCTCAGGATGGGAGCCCGTGTGAAATGGCAGGTGCTGTCCTGGGGCCACCGTGGGCAGTGCTGGGCTGGCGCCCCGTGGGTGCTCTGGGAGGGCGAGGCCTCTTGGGGGCCGCCAGGCTCCGCGCACCCTGCCCGCAAGGAGTGCAGCCCAGCCCGAGCCCGGGAGCTGGAGCCTGTTTCGGTGGTCCCACCGCTGCATGTGCTGCGGTGGCCAGCTGGGGACTCCAGGCACCAGCTGCTCACTTCAGCTGGCCCGAGCCACTGAGAAGGTCCCGAGCGAATGCAGAAGGCACGGCCTGTCTCACGGTGTTGTGGGAGCCATGAAGAGAAGTGGGTTTGGTCCAGTTTCGTGACATCTACCCCTAGGAAAGTGACGGGGCGCCAGCGAGACAGCAGTGGCCCAGGTTGACCAACTGCAGGGCTTGCCCTATGTGTGGTTAGGGGAGTTTCCGTGCTGCTGTCACCCTGGGACTCTGCAACTTCCTGGAAGTTCTCAGCTGCCCCTGCAGGGAGGGGAGCTCAAGGCATGCCGGAGCGGGGTGGCCTGGGTAAGTCCCCGGCTCCTCGCGCTCGGGAGCCGTCACAGGGAGCCCCCGGCGGGTGGGGGTCTGATTTGTTGGTATAAAGGTAGGGGCTTTGTTGAGGGTCTTAACCCGGTCCTTCACCAAGAGGGAAGCCACAGGCACCGGTGCTGACAAATGGGTGGTGAGGCAGGAGGATGCGGGGGAGAGGAGCTGGGGCAGAGGGACAATGTCTCCTCTTGGTCCTTCAGAGACTCTTCTACCCTGGGATGTTCTTCTGCTGGCCCGGGGGCTGGGAAGTGGGAGCTCAGGGACGGGCTCGTCCCTAGGACATCTCCCCGCCTCTTCCCAGGCTCTGGGGAGCTTCCTGGGTGCCATGTGGTTGTTGCTGATTCTCGGGGTGTTGGGTAGGAGGTGGCATATAAAGCGTCTGACTCCCTTGCCTCCAGGGCTGCCTGGGCCGAGGGGCACGTGGGGCAGGATGGAGACAGCGTGGGGTTTCTGCTGGGTCCCAGGCATGGTCTTGGGGCCAGACAGCTCGTGGGCCTCCTAGGACGGTGTTCAGAGATGCGCCTGGCATAGTGGATGTTCCGCAAAGGTCTGCCACGTACGGTGGGGGGCTGGCTGCTGAGGACGGGGTGCTGGGCTGGGCAGTTCCTCTCTGTGCACAGGACAGAGATAAGATGATGCTTAGGTCTGCCAGGTGCAGGGGGGAGGGCAGGGACACCCTGGGGGAAGCAGGGAGAGGATAAGCAAGAACCGGCTGACACGGGGGGTTCCACCTCAGCAGCAGTTAGAGAAATACAAATGCGTTTAAAAAAAAATCTACCAGAAGGAGAGAAACAGAAATGGATTCCCCATACTGGGAGGGGGTGAGATGGAGGTGGGGGACCGCCTGCTGAGAGCACAGGTGGGTGTGTTGTTGGGGCTGGTAACTTAGCCAGTCCCTCCCAGAGTTCACCCTGAACACAAAGACAGAAACTGAGGCAGAGATTCGGGTCGTGGGAGTGAGAGATGGGAAATAACTCGAAATGTCCAGTGACAGTGAAACGGTTACAGAAATTACAGCCAAGCCGCGAGAGGGGCTCGCCCAGGCTGAGGAAGCGGGTCTTCATAGTGTGCGCCAGGATGGGGAACCGCCCTTGGAAACGGCAAGTGAAACGGGGCAGGTGGAAGCTTGTGCGTGTGGGGGATGCTCGAGGCTTCGTTGTCTGCGCTTCTGCATCCGCTTGAAAAGTTCCGCAGTAAAAAGGTAAAAATTATATTTTAAAAGACTGGAGGGACACAGCGCAAACACAGGACCCCGGGCTGCTGGGGGAAGCGCCAGGGAGATGAGTCTTTGTCATGTCATGTGAGTGTCCATCCGGAACGTAGTGACTCTCTCATCCGGAAAATGGGCTTGTCCAAGTACCATTGTGTTGATAATAAACGGCAAAGTAGCCATAAGTGAGCATGCTGGGGGTGGTGGCAGTGGCACGGGAAAGGCGGGCTGGAGCTGTGAGGAGCCGGGAGGGGACGGCAGGGCTGGCTGGGCGGGGAGGCAGGGAGGGTAGAAGACCCAGGGCAGGTGTGATGGGGCTTCGGGCTGACCGGGGCCTGCCCACCCTGTGGCCTTGCGACTCGGGTCATCCAAGTGGCCTCATCGTGACATTGTGTCCAGACGAGCAGGACCACTGTGGGTGGGCAGTGACCGGGCGCCCAGCCTGTTGTAGTTCCCCCAGGGCACAGACCAAGGATGGAGACCCCCACGTCCCCCAGCCCCAGGCTGGCATTGTGGGCATGGCGGACTTGGCCCTTCCCCGAGGCCAAGGTCTGGCCTGGAGTCAGGCCCTGCATCTGCACAGGGCCAGTCCCACGGGTCCAACACTTCACCGATCCCACAGCAAGACCTCCTCTGTGGGTCCCCAGAGGTGGGCTGGGCTACGGGGTGATGAGAGAAAAGAGTAGGTTGCTGTGGGCTGCCAGGAAGGGTGGGCGCAGGGCTGGTGCTGAGCAATGGAGGAGCCAGTCCTCCAGGCCCTGGGCCTCCCACCAACACCCAGCCCCGCTGGAGGCCAAAAGAGCAAGAGGAAGAGCCTGGGCCCGGGGGTGGGCAGCCCACTCCTCTGGACACGGATGCTCTGTCCACAGCCATCGCAGCCAGGCTGGACACCGTGGTCCATGCTCCCATTCCTCACCCAGGGTTAGGCTGCCCAGGGTCCTAGCTGCTAACCAAGGACAACATGAGGACCCTCTGAGGTTGGGCAGGCATGAGGCCCAGGCCCCCTACATGTCTTGCTCACCTCGAGGGGTCGGGGAGACACATGGGGAGCATGGAGAGGAAGCAGAAAGTGGAGGTGGTGACAGCGGGGAGCAGGAGGGGGCGGGCGAGGGGTCACCAGGTCTGGGAAGACCCTGGGAGCAGGCCTGGGGCCTGAGACCTGAAGCCACATGCCCGTCAGGCAGAGACTGGCCTGGACAAGGCCCAGGGATGGGACGAGCTCTGAGGAGTGAAAGGCCGGGTGGCTGGAAGGTGGGTCCAGGCAGTGGACGGAGGGGCAGGAGTGGCCCAGGGGGGCCAGGATGTCCTGGAGGGCTGTGAGTCGCTCTCTCAGGACGCCCCAGCACCTGGCTGTTCCACCTGGGCCTCGTACTGGGCCCGCCGGTTCTTTCAACGTGGCCCCCCACCCCTGACCTGTCCAGCCAGACCGTCAGAACCTGATAGATGGGAACGTGGCCCTGGATCTGGCCACCGGCGCCTTGCACTACACGGCCGCACAGGGCAGGTGGGGCGGAGCAGCCTGCCCCAGGACCCCCTGCCTCAGCCCTGGTCAGTCTGCTCCCCGAGTGCAGGGTCTGGGGCCTCAGAGGAGCAGCGCCATGGGAGGGCCGCCCTGCCTGCAGACCTCGTCTTGGAGGGGGGCGAGCATTTCCACCACTTCCTCTGGCTTTTGCAGAAGTGGCTTCTAGAGACACAACGCTCCTCTGCTCCTGTCGACATCGGGGAAGAGCAGGCCGTACAGCCCCTCTCGGAGGCTCATCCTCCCAGCTTTCCAGAAAGCTCTGGGAGTTACCGTGAAGGCAGCGGGCTGCCAGGAGCCATTCCCAGGCAGCTCAGCCTCATGGGGATGAAGGAATCTGGCCGGGGCTGAGGCTGGTGCCTCACCTCCCAGGACTGTTCCACGTGGGCCACCATCCCAGCAGCCCCTCTCTTGGAGGCCCCACCCCAGGCAGCCACCTCACCAGCTGAACATCTGCCCTCCCGGGACCCCTTAGTTGGGGTCACCCCCCTCACCCGTGAGCCAGCCGGGTCTCTGTTTCGGGGGTCTGCATCTCTCGCTGGGCCACAGACCCAGGCGCCACATGAGCCCCACAGGGCCACGGCCGGGAGTGCCTTGGACCGTATCCTTGAGGGCAGAGTCCTATGCGAGGGAGACCTCCTCAGCCACAGCGCCCGGGGCCTCCTTCCCCACTTTCGGGGGCTGACCTGAGACCCGGGGGCGAGACAGGCGGGGCGTAACCTCCAGGCCCACGCCTGCCGGCCCCCAGGGGATGTCCTTCTCAAAAGGTCAGCATCAGTTGGAGATGGTTTCCTGGTTCCTTCTTGCTTCTGTTTCTCATCTTTGTGGGTATTTTAAAAAATTCAAAGAGTCAGTGAACTCTCTGAAGTTTCAGGTGTAAACATCTTGGCTTCCTGTTATTTCCAGCTCATAGAAACACGCTTGTAGAAGGAGCTCTGTGAGATGAATCTCCTGGCAGCACGGCCAGCGGGCCCAGGAAGCCGATGCAGCCGCTGCCTCCCCATGACCAGGCAGAGGGGTGGGGGCTGGGCCGGCACCAGGCAGGCGGACCAGAGGCAGTGTGTAACCCCTCTGGGTCCAGCCCCGCTCCCTCCTCCTGCGGGACCCACAGACACCCGGGCCTGCCTTACAGAGCAGAGCGGCAGCAGCAGCCCCTCGGGGCTCTGAGTGCGCCATCCACCCCATCTGAGGACGGGTTTAGAGGGATCGCCTCCCCTCAGACTGTCTCTGGCTGATCAGGACGGAGCCTGTTTTAGTGGCACCTCTGGTTGGGGAAAGAAGCGGAGAGATAAGGCATCCTGGATGCCACCCCCATCCGTGGCGCCTTCAGACCTGCCCCTGCTCCGTGCACTGAGGGCATCGTGGGCACTCTCCTGGGGGTCCCAGTCCCTTTCACGTGGGGCAAGGTGCTGTGACATGCTTTTAGGTCACATTTGCTTCACATCTGGGGTAATTATTTCAACAGGAAAAGTTCCTATTTTACCAGATCAAAAGTTAAGCACATTGAAGATTATTGGAAATAGATTGCAAAACTGTGCTCTGAAACATTTGTGCCAGTTTATGGTCCGTCAGCACAGTAAAGGGTGCCCACGGCCTCACACTCTCACCGACACCGAGAATTAAAGTTCCGTATTTTTGCCAACCTATTTGGCAAAAAGAGACTATCATTTGGATGTTTGTGTTTGCATTTCTTTGATTATAAGTGCAGCTGAGCCTTTTTCAGGTTTTTAGGAGCCGTTTCTATTTCTTCTGTGAATTATCTGCTCATTGGCTTCGACACTTCTTTCTTTTGTTGATCTGCAGGAGTTCTTTATATATTAAGGACCTGCTGGTGTCTCCCACAGGATAAATACAAGACTCGGTGCATAGTAAATGCTTACTAACCATTTGTCGAATGACTTCATTGGTGATTTAATCTGATGTCTGTAAAACAATTTCTATCTGCTCTTCCTTCAGGTCCTTTTAAACTCTTGGAGTAAACCTCTCAGTGGGACGGACAAGACTCCGGACGGGTGCTGGAGAGCTTACTACAGGGCTGCCTGAAACCGGACCCGCGAAGATGCTTGGTGAGAGCCGCGTGACTCCCTTGACTTTAGGCGTTCCGGAGGGGCCTGGGAGAGCTTGGCTACCGTGTGCTTCATCTCATAACTGGGATGAGTACATCAAAAATTAGCATGCAAGAATAGGTTTATCGAAATAAGAACTAACTCAGAGACAAGAAAGCCAGAGGTTCTCCATCGAGACAGAGGGAAGTGCCCCTTTCTTACTCCCTTGAAGTGCGAGAAAAACCCAGGCCTGGGGCTGAGAGGAGGCCCACAGGCTCCTGTGTCCTCTGGGGCTCATGTCATGCCCGTATCTCGTGAGAGACCCAGTGCCGAGCCACAGAGCAGTCGCAGGTGCCCCATGGGGGCCTCCCCCGTCTACAGGGTGCTCCTCGGCCCCCACCCCAGGGAGGCTCTCCTCCCAGGAGCTCAGGGTCCACTGGGTACACGGGTGGGGGCCAGGCAGGCTCTTGCCTGTGCACCGGGCTGGGCACAGATTGGGCATGGAGGTGGGACTGGGTGTGGGAAGGTGAAGACCGGACACCGAGTGTCCTGCTAGGTGGCCCCCGAGCAGGTGGCTTGGGAATGAACTACATTAAGAGTCCAGTAGCCACACCACAGGGGTGGGTAGTGTTGGTGGAGTGGCAGGGGGCAGGGAGGGGCCCACAGGCCTCACGTGTGCCTCCCCCTCAAGCTCTGACCCCGGGTGTGTGACCACTGGGGAGCCGTGGCAGGACAGGGTTGCACTGAGAGGGAGGTAGGGCAGGGCTGGGGCCAGGGGGTGGGGCAGCTCCATGGAGACCTCGCACGGCAAGGGGGAAGAGCCACCCAGGTGGGGATAGCTCCCACCTGAGAGCCGCCCACTGGGGCCTGGTGCCCCTCACCTTGACTCCAGCCACTAGCTGCAGCCCCATCACTTGTACAAAGAACTGGCAACCGGATCTGCTCCACTCGCTCATGCCCCTGCACCTCGACCCCTCCACCTACAAGTGGAGGTGGCGGCACGCGTCCCAGAATGTCAGGAGGCAGGGTGGCCCCCTCACATCCGTTGGGATGGCTGCTATCGAAAACAAAATACCAAGTGTTGGCGAGGTTGTGGTGGGAACGTAACACGGTGCAGCTGCTGTGGAGAACAGGGTGGCGGCTCCTCAAAAGGTTAAAAATAGAATTACCATACGATCCAGCAACTCCACTTTCGAGTGCATACCCAGAAGAACTGAAAGCAGGATCCTGAAGAGCCATCTGCACACCCGTGTTCATGGCTGCTTGATTCACAGTAGCCGAAAGGCGGAAAACCCAAGCGTCCATGGATGGACAGACAGATAAACAAACTGGGGTCCATCCACACAGTGGAGTATTATTCAGCCTTAAAAAGGAAGGAAATCCTGGCACACGCTACAACATGGATGAAGCTTGAGGACGTCATGCTCAGTGAAATAAACTAGTCACAAAAGGACAAGCCCTGTGTGACTCCACTCACATAAGAGCCCCCGAGCAGTCAAAGTCAGAGACAGAGAGCAGGTCGGAGCGGGCAGGGGCTGGGGGAGGGGAGGCGGAGTCAGTGCTTCCTGGGGACAGAGTCTCAGTTTGGGAAGATGAAAAGTTCTGGAGACGGATGGTGGTGATGGCTGCACAACAGTGTGAATGGACTTAATGCCCCTGAACTGGACACTTAAAATGGTTAAAATGGTGAATTTTGTATTATATATATTTTACCAGAATAAAGAAGTTGGGGAAACAAAATTGGGAGAAACAGTGAGAGTCGAGACAGGGCAGCAGGATCCTGGCTTGGGGCCGAGCAGCTCCGGGGCCCTGGGTACCAGCTACTTGCTTCCTTTGTGACGAGCCTCAGCTGAGGAAACAAGCAACGCTCTCTGTCACTGTCCCTGTCTAATTCTGCAACAAATCGCCCTGCCGGGGGCACGGCTGGTGACCGTGCTGTGGACGTTGGCAGCTGGGATCCCTGGGAGGCAGCGTGCCCGGCCATGGGAGCCCTGGACAGCTGGCTGGGACACCAAGGTGATGTCGGCATTTGGGACATGCCGAGTTTTCCTTGCTGGTTGGACATCCATATGGGGAGGTCAAGGGATCATCATGCCCAGAATGTAAGTAACAACAGTGCCTTCCAGGACTCAGGGGTCACCAGGATGGAGAAGCAATGGCCCCTTCCATGAGGTCACCGTGGCCACATCAGGCGCATCCAGCCTGCTGTCCATTCCTGCAGCCAGATCATGGGCTCCCCGCTGGTGGCCACTGTGGCTAGAGAGGGCACCGTGGACCCTGCTGGCAGCTGGGCGCTGAGTTCGCTGCGTTAGAAGCCAGGAGACTAAAGAACAAAGTCTTCCCTGCACTCAAGCTGAAGCGGATCCCCTGGGAGCTGTCTTCTAGAATTGGGGTAAAAAGGCGTTTCGATGAACATAATCTGGGAGGGTTTGTACAACGGGCTCTTGTTCTCAGAATTTGTAAATTCTCCTCCTCAGGGAAGGACGGGGGGTGGGGCGTCTCGGGACAGCTGGAGACGCAAGAAGGCAGCGTGGAGAAGATGGGCTGGCGTGTGACTGGTCGTAAACAGGGATGAGCGGTGTGAAATCACGCAACACCTGACACGTGGGGTTGAAAACCAGGACCAAACCCCACACAACTAAAATGACTGCGCCAGAGCCACACACAGCGGCCGAGGGCCAGTAGGATCACAGTTCTGAGGGTTCTCGAAAATTCAAGAGGGTGAAGGTTTGATTAACTTTAGACGCTATTAAATATACACATTAAAATTTCCAGGGTAATCTCTAAAAGATTAAAATAGACAATAATTTCCAAGTCCATAGATGGGGGGACAACAGAATTTAAAAATAAATGCTAGAGGGCCAGCCCTGGGGGCCTAGTGGTTAAGTTCCTTCCGTGTGGCCTCCTTCGGTGGCCTGAGTTTGGTTCTTGGGCGCAGACCTATACCACTTGTCTGTGAGCACCATGCTGTGGTGGCGGCACACATAACAAAAGAGGAAGAATGGCAACAGATGTTAGCTCAGGGTGAATCTTCCTCAACAACAGCAAATAAATAAGTAAACTCAAGAAATCCAAATGAAGATGTGTCGGTTTGCTTGGTCCCTGTGACAAAGCACCACAGACGGGGGTGTTAAACAGCAGACGTGGATTCTCTCCAGCTCTGGAGGCTGGACGTCGGAGGCCGAGGCATCTGCAGGCCAGGTCCCTCTGAGGCCGTGAGGAAGGGCCCTGTCCCAGGCCCCTCTCCCTGGTGTGTGGACGGCCGTCTTCTCCCAGTGTCCAAATGTCCCCTTTTTATAAGGACACAGTCACAGAGGATTGCGACCTACCCTAGTGACCTAACTTTAACTTGATCATCTCTCCAAAGACCTCATCTCCAAAGAAGGTCACATTCTGAGTGCTGGGGGTCAGGGCTCCAACATGTCTTTTTGGAGGAACACAGTTCAGCTTGTAACAGAAGGCAAAAGGGGAATAAAACAAACAGAAAAAAGCAAATGAAAGCATAAAATGAGAAAACAAAATATGTCAATAATATTATAAATACAGATGGACTGAATGCAAGAGTCTTAGATTTTTAAATCCAGCCACAAGTGTTCTATAAGTGTCATGTCTAAAACAGAAGGAAACAGATAGGTTGAAAGCAGAAGGTTGGAAAAACATGCCAAAAAGTTAGTCATCAAAAGAAAGCTGATATTTCATATTAAATAACAGACAAAAGACTTTAATTAATTAATTAATCAATCTATTGAGGAAGATCAGCCCTGAGCTAACATCTGCTGCCAGTCCTCCTCTTTCTGCTGAGGAAGACTGGCCCTGAGCTAACATCTGCGCCCATCTTCCTCTGCTTTATATGTGGGATGTCTACCACAGCATGGCATGCCGAGCAGTGCTGTGTCTGCACCTGGGATTCGAACGAGCAAACCACGGGCCGCTGAAGCGGAACGTGCGCACTAAACCGCTGTGCCACTGGGCCAGCCCCTAAAAGACTTTGTATTAAAAGCATTATGAGAAATTATATTACTTTCCTATTGTTGTAACAAATTACTACAAACTTAGAGGCTTAAAAATGCAAACTTATCATCTGTTGTTCTGGGGATCAGAAGTGTGAAAGGGCTAAAATCGAGGTGTCGCAGGGCTGGTTCTGGCTGGAGGCTCCAGGAGAGAATCCACTTCCTGCCTTTTCCAGCTTCTAGAGGCTGCACCCCTTGGCTAGTGGCCCCGCCCTCCATCCCCAAAGCCGCCAGTGGCTGGTCCAGCTGTTCTCACATCCCATCACCCCACCTCCTTTCTTTCTCCTTCTTCTGCGTTCAAGGACCCTGTGACTACACTGGGCCGGCCCAGATAATCCATGATAATCCCCCTCTTTTACTATTGTCAGCTGATTAACCAACTTAATTCCATCTGCAATCTTAACCCCCCTTTGCTGTGTAACCAGAACTGCACATAAGCCGGACAAACTACCGTACTCACAGGTTCCGGGGTTAGGATGTGGGCATCTTTGGGGAGCCAGTATTCTGCCTACCACAGAGATAAGAGCACCGTGACATAATGATACAGAGGCCAACTCACCAAGAAAACAGAATTGTTTTAAATTCATATGTGCCAATTAACAAGAGCTTCAAATATATAAAGCAAACCTCGAGAGAACTGCAAGAAGTGGACAAAAATCCACCATCACAACAGGGGTTGTGAATCATCCTTTTCAGTAATTGGTACTCGGAGGAGGCAGAAAAGTGGGACAGATCAGGAGGAGGTTGTGCCCAAGCCGGGGGAAGGGGTGGGGTGGAAGCGTGGCAGCTGCTGGCAGAGGGTAGGAGCAGCACCCAAGCCTGGATTCTGTCGAGAACAGGCTCAGAAGAGCACTTGCTCAGCAGTTGGAGAGTAAACTTACTTTTCGAGCAGACCAACAACACTTCTGCAAAACGACCTCAGTGAGTGGCAAGGACTTGGTTCTGCACAGCCTGTGTTCTCTGTCCGTGATGCCGTCAGGTTGGCGATCAATGATCTGAGGATCACTTTAAGAAACTCCTTTGGAATTTCTAAATCCCCGGTGGGTCTAGTCGGGAGTTACCACGAGTCTTATCCTTTCTTAGAACTGTAAAGTCTCTTCCACGTGGTTCCCAGCCACACCCATCCTCACGCTTGTCTCTGTCCCACAGGAAACGCCACCCCAATGACCCTGTCTCCTGGCATAGCTTCCTCCAACTGCAACGTGTCCTTCGAGGAGAGCAGAGTGTTCCTGGTGGTGGTGTACGGCGCCGTGTGTGCGCTGGGCCTGCCGGCCAACTGCCTGACGGCGTGGCTGACGCTGCTGCAGGCGCTCCAGGGCAACGTGCTGGCCGTTTACCTGTTCTGCCTGGCGCTGTGCGAGCTGCTGTACATCAGCACCCTGCCGCTCTGGATCCTCTACATCTGGAAACAGCACCGCTGGACCCTGGGCCTGTGGGCCTGCAAGGTGACTGGCTACATCTTTTTCTGCAACCTGTACGTCAGCATCCTCTTCCTGTGCTGCATCTCCTGCGACCGCTTCATGGCCGTGGTGTACGCTCTGGAGAGCCGGGGCCGCCGCCAGCAGAAGACTGCCATCCTCATCTCCGCGTCCGTCTTTGTTCTTGTCGGGCTTGTCCACTACCCAGTGTTCCAAATGGAAGAGAAGGGCACCTGCTTCGAGACGCTGCCGATGACCAGCAAGATCGCCAGCTACTACTACTCACGGTTCACCGTCGGCTTCGCCATCCCTCTCGCCATCATCGCCTTCACCAACCAGAGGATCTTCAGGAGCGTCAAGCTGAGCGTGGGCCTGAGCGCCGCCCGGAAGGCCAAGGTGAAGAACTTGGCCACCGCAGTCGTGGTCATCTTCCTGGTCTGCTTCGCCCCCTACCACGTGGTGCTCCTCATCAAAGCCATCGCCTTCTCCTACTACCAAGGAGACGAGGACTCCGTGTGTGCCTTCGAAGGCAGCCTGTACACGGTCTCTGTGGTGTTCCTCTGCCTGTCCACGGTGAACAGCGTGGCCGACCCCATCATCTATGTGCTGGCCAGCCGTTCACGGCAAGAAGCATTTGGAATTCACAAGGTGTGGAAAAAGTGGTCCACAAAGACGGATGTCACCTGCTCGAAGGACTCAGAGGAGGTGCAATTGCCCATGTCACTCGCAAATGGCCACATGTCCCCGAGGCCTGTCCATGCGCCAGAGTCATAGCTGGCACATGGGGCTCACTGTGTGCCCTGGAGAGGCTGAACAAACACTCCTGCTGAGCCCAGTGTGCTGCAGGGCGGGACGGCCGGTGCAGGAGCCTGGGGGCCAGCTGCCTGGCACCCCCACTGAGCCCACCAGCTGGGGTCTGTGGTGCTGGTTGTGCAGCCCCTCGGGAAGACACGCCATCGATTGCTCACTCCTGGAGCCACACCCTGCGGGAGCCTCTGCCCCTTGGAGGTCCCAATCCGCTAGGCTCTCCCACTGGGTGCAGAAGCCCCACGTGGAAGGTGGCGGCACGCCCAGAGTCAGGTGATGCTTCCGGCTGCAGGGAGCCCGGGGAGCTGGCAGCAGGCAAGGGGCTTCTTCATACGTGGCTTGTTCTGGCTGGATCTCTTGGCCATTAGCAAACAGCAGGGCTGCTGGCAGAGGCCACGTGCCTGCCTGGTACTGCCAGCAGCTGGCACATGCCGTGCGCGGGCTGGGGGCCCGGTCAGCATCCATGGTGATGACTTTATTTTCTGTGCTTTTCTGCCAGCGTTGATTGGATGATGGTGACAGTACATTGTGGGGCCTTCGTGCTTCTGCCTCAGCACATGTGTGCAAACTGTGCATCTTTGCACAGTGCCCAGCCACTGTGGGACAGCCAGGACGCAGGCGGGGGCAGGAGCCCAGCCCCGAGGGCCCTCGGCTAGGGCTGGCTCTGTGCTGAGCAGGTCTGACGCTGTAGGCTGCTTCGGACCCCTTGCGGCAGCTGCCGGGAAGTCTGCCAGCTGCTCTGGCTCCCAGCAGGGCAGCCCACGTGTCCTCAGCATGGAACCCCAGGAGCTCATGTCAGGAGCACCTGTCAGCTAGAAACGTTGCTGGGCTCCCCAGGAAGGCGGCACACCTGCTGACGAGGCTCAGAGGATGGTTGGAAGTCCTTCACATCAACGTCTTCTGGCTTCGTTGTCAGGGGAGAGGCCAGCCGAGGGCTCGGGACAGAGCGAACTGGGAGCAGGCAGGTGACGGCCCCTCCGCCTCCAGCCCCTCACTAAGGTGCGCATGGGGCCCGGATGGAGCCCGGAACTGGGTCTGCCGTGTGGCTGAGAGAAAGTGGGTGCCCTGCAAACCACACAGCTCAGAGTCAGATCCTGGCTCTGCCCCTGACAAGCCTCATCTAGGCCAGGTCGTGTCGCTGCCTCAGTTTCCCCGTCTGTAGCAAGGCCAACGACACCTACCTCACCGAGTCAGCGTCAGGTGCTGGCCCACTACCTCTGCCTCAAGCACTTCACCCCTACCCCCAGCACAGCACTGTGAACCAGCGAACCAGCGAGCTCAGCAGGCCCCCTGGGGCGTGGAGGGCCTGGCACCCGCGACGCACAGTGCAGCGTCCCTTTGCCGTGGAAGCTCTGCTGGGCCGTAGTGCTGAATTACGTTCTCATTTCTGTACGGCTGCTGTCGACTGTCCTTCTTCACTGTGAGAGACATTGAGAAAATAAGTTTAGAAATAAAAAGGCAAAAATACACGTCAGTCCTAACTTCCTTTTTAAATGGAATAATGTCATTTTCCCTTTCCAGGTAAATGCTTCCCTCTGGGGCTCTCTTGGAGGCCCAGGCCCATGAGAGGGGCGGGCAGGGATGGGCTGCGGATTCTGGGAACAGTCTGGAATACTCAGGGCTGGGGGGAGGGCAAAGACAGCCATCGGGCACTCGAGGCTTCCACGGTATCTGCTGTGCTGGCTTCCGGGGCTGTTGGAACTAATCACCTCACACCACATGGCTTAAAACAAAGATGATCCTCTCTCGGTTCTGGGGCTGGAAGTTGCAGAGCACGGTGGGGGCGGGGGCAGTCCCCGGGGCTCTGAGGAAGAGTGGCTCCAGGCCTCCCTCCGCCCCGGTGCACCGGCAGCATCCTGGGCCTTCGTGGGCTTGTGGCCGCACCACTGCCCTCTCTGCCTCGTCTTCACACGGCCTCCTCTACCGCCTGTCTCTGTGTCTCTGCTTCTGTCTCAAAGCCCCATGCTGGGCTCCAGGGGCCGTCTGGATGCCCGGCGCTGGCACTGCTGGGTCTGCGGGGGTCTGGACCCCATATGCTGTGCCGCGGGGCACCACCTTCTGCCCTCTCTCCTCGGGCAGCTCAGAGCCTGCCTCACGGTGACCAGGGTGATGAGGCTGTCTGCACTTAGGACCCACCAATGCATGTCCACAGAGCAGTGGAGGGATGCTAGGCCCCCACACAGAGGGGCCTGGCTCTGTGCTGGGTCTCGAGGAGGTACTCGGGGGGCGAGGCTGAGCCCCTAGGGGACAGCAGGCTGAGGGAAAGGGGAGCTGGGGAAGTGGTGGGCAAGGGTCAGCCCAGGAGCCAGGGCCCCCCTCAGCCAGAGGCCCTGCCTGCATGAGTCCGGCCTTCCTGGTCATGCTCCCCTCCCTGACCGGTGACGGTCAGTCCTGACTGGATCTCAGTCACTGAGCACAGGCGAGTCCATTTTTCATTTGACTCACGTTGCTCACGGGAAGTCTGGTACTGGCCAGCCTCACTCACTTTCATCACTTCACTCATCCTCTCCCTCCCTCATTCATCCCTCACTCACTCATTCATTCACTCATTCACTGACTCACTCATTCACTCACTCCCTAGCTCATTCATTCTCTCCCTCACTCTTCTCCTCCCTCCCTTCTATCCATCCCCTCTACGAGGTGCTCCCTTCAGCGCCCCGACGGAGGGACAGAGGCAGGCACAGTGAGATGCACCCTGTACTCACGAGGCCGTGCAAGGAGGTGGGAACTGAAGAGGAAGTCCAGAGAGACCCATGCAGCAGCTCACCACTGGGAGCCCACCACCCTACACTCCAGCCCCTTTCCACATGTGCGTCCCCAGACTGGGGCTCCAGGAGAGGGGGCACCCTGCTATTTGTTCACTGCTGTCTTCCCAGCCCCTAGACGTGGCCTGTGCCTGAATGGGCCCCTTGTTGTTCTTTGAGTCACAATATGAGGGACTGGTAGCCACATGGTCCCCACGCTGTGCTTCTGGAGAGCACCGTGCCAGCCAGGAGAGCCACCCAGGCTCCCCGGACATCTCAGCACTCATGGATATCCACATGTTTGAAGAGTTATCAACCAAACTAACGGACTGTTCAGCCAGACACGCTCCGGCCTCCTGCCCTGGCAGACACACCTGCATGTCAGGGACAGAATCAGGCCCCCTTTGTCACCCCCACTCCACCTGGCACTTCGAGTGGCTGCAGCCACAGGCGTGAACCCTGGGGGGCACTTCGGGGGGACAGGCTCAAGGAGAGCCATGTAGGCCGGGGGGGTGGGCTCCGGTGGTTTGGCTGGAGATTCTGGGGTCCCATAGTCTGGAGCTTGTCTAGAAGGGGCACAGTCCCAGTAGGGCTCCCCTCCCCGGAGCCTCCTGACCCTGGGGGAGTGACGTGTTGGGGAGGAAACAATCCTGGCTGCCTGGATGTCACTCCAAGGCCATCTGAAACCCTGGACTTGAGAGGACAGCTCACTTTGGAAGGTTATTTCCCCCTCAGAGCCCTATAATGTGGGAATGGCCACAGTACCTGCCCTCAGGGCTGTTGGGGACATTCACTGAGATCATGTCCGTCCTGCCCGCGCTCTGCCTGACACACAGGGTGCTCCACAGCAAGTCAGACACCGGCTTAGTTTCTGTGGTCTTTCCTGGGGCCTGGAGCATCCCGGGTTCCTTTATGACACAGGCCCGTGTGGCCCAGTGACGGCCTCTGGGGGCACCGGCTGCAGCCCCCAGGGGACGGCACTGAGATGGGAGCCGCTGGACCCAAAGGGAGGCGGAGGTGGCACCGCTGAGCGCAGCACCCCCGAGTGGCTCCTAGGGAGGAAACTGCGTGGGGCCACCCAGAGGGGGCTGTGGGGCCAGGCACTTCTCCGGGGCTGGCAGGTCCCCTGAGCCCCCTGGGCCCAAAGCCAGATCTGAGAAGAAGAGGAACCGAGAGTGGCCCTGTGCCTGGTGACAAATGACAGCTACTCCATCAATGACAGTGACGGCCTCGGTGCGAATCTGGAGAAACCGCAGGGGTGGGGGTAGGCATCGGGGGTGGGTGCCTGGAGGGGGCGCGGAGGGGGTGAACCCAGAGGCCAGCAGGGCGCCCACTCCAGGGACAGGAGGGCTGGAGACCAGTGGGGTGGAGACGAGGCCCCCGGCAGGGCCAGGACTGTGACCGGTTCCGGGCTGCGGCGGTGGCAGCAGGGAGGCCGTCCTCGGAGGTGCCCAGTGCACAGCCCCACACCTGCCACCAGCCGCCCCAGAGCAGGCTCCCCGTGCACACCCCCTTCAGGACACGGCCAGCGTCCATGCACACCAGGATGGCCAGAATCACGGATTCGGATAAGTGTTGGCGAGGGTGTGGGGAAACTGGAGCCTCACACTCTGTTGGCGGCAATGCAAGATGGTGCGGACACTCTGGGAACCAGTCTGGCAGCTCCTCAAACCGTTAAACACGGGGTTACTGTGCGCCCAGCAACTCCCAGGTATATACCCAAGAGAACCGAAAACATATGTCCACATGCAACTTTGTACAAAGTGTTCACAGCGGTATTATTCGTAACGGCCAAAAAGTGGAAACAACCCAAATGTCCACCAAGAGATGAGTGGGTAAACACAAGCTTGTCTCTCTTGCAACAGAACGTCGCTTGTTACTCAGCCTTAGAAAGGAGTGAGGTGCCCACCCACGCGGTAACGTGGACGGACCTTGAAGACACCATGCCAAGTGAAAGAAGCCAGTCACAAGACGCCACACAGTGCATGATTCCACTTCCGTGAGATGCCCAGAGCAGGGAAGTCTACGGGCACAGGAGGCAGACGGGTGGTCGCCTAGGGCCGAGGGGACGGGGCAGTGGGGGTCATAGCTTGAGGGTCCTGTGTTCTCTCTGACGTGACAGGTTCTACCATTGACGCTGGCAATGGCTGCACGCCTCTGTGAATCTACTAAAAACGATGCCTTGTGCTCCTTAAAAGGGTGAGTTGTATGTTCTGTGATTACGTCTCAATAAGGCTGTTTCAATAACTCGGGCACCTCACACCCGCTCCGTCCAGACTCCGGCCCCAAGGCCCTGAGGGACAGTGTGGGGCCACTATGGCTCAAGGAGGGTGGCTGCGAGACCTCCACCCCCGGCCCCCACGCCCCCCACTCTGCAGCTCTGGGGGTGCGCAGCCCCCGCTGACACATAGAGGCCCAGATGGGCCCCGTGTCATTTCAGGCAGCCGGGAGGCAGGGCGGGAGGGCAGCTGAGGTTCCCTGCCGGCTCTGCCCTGGGCCCCACCAGGCGACCTCCCAGCACCTCCCCCGGGGCTGTCTGCAGGAAGGTGAGCTCTGGTGCCTGTCATTTTCGCGGCTCAGAAGACATTACCTGCCCCCATCACGATTCTTCCTACCCCGCCTGGAGATGACCAGCCCACCCGTCCTGCCCGCCCCTCCGCCCTTGGGTTCAGGTCCAGTGTGGGCTCTGATTGCCTCTCAAACTTCAGCCTGCATCAGAATCACCTGGTGGGTCTGTTAAAACACAGATGGGTGGGACTCAACCCCAGAGTTTCTGAGTCTGAGAGAATTTGCATCTGTAACGAGTTCCCAGGAGATGCCGCTGCAGGCCCACACCTCCAGAACTGCTGCTCCAAGCCAAATGCCATCAGAAGGGCACATGTCCAATTCTGGCCAATGAGAAGTGGGCCAGGACTTCAGCTTGCCTTCTGGAGGAAAGGCTCTCTTTCCCTGGACCTGCTGTAAGACTGGGTGCGAGGTCTGGAGCTGCTGCAGCCACTCTGAGACTCCGCAGGCGAAGCCATCTAAGCAGGAAGCCCACACACAGGGGAGGGCCTTTGTGTGCTGCATCCTGCCCTTCCCACTCCTTGGCCTCTTCGGTCAGGAGGACTCCAAGGGCTTTGGGTGAGTGTCAAGTGACTGATAGAGCCAGTGACTGAGACGGGAAACTTTGAGTGGGGGTAGGCGTTCTGTTTCAGATGTGTTAAGCTTCATGATATCCACGGGACACGGAGATGAGAACAAAGGAGGAGGTGGGTGCACATGTCTGGAGCTCAGGGCAAGACGGGAGGGGTGAATTTGGGTGACATTGGTGAATATGCATGAGTGAGAACACACGCCATTCTAAATCAGATAAGACAGGATGTATCTTACCAGAGAGGACTGGTCACCGGCTAAGAGGCAGCGTTTTCTTTCCTTGTGGTTGGATTAGTTTTCTATCACCACAAAAGTAGTGGTTCAAAACTATACTCATTTTTTAGCTCGAAGTCTGTAGGTCAGACATCTGACACAGCCAGATCAAGGACACAGCCGGCGGCCTTCTCATCTGGGCCCGGGGTCCTTTCTGAACACACTCCTGTTGGTGGCAGACTTGCCTCCTGCCGTCGTGGTGCTGAGGTCCCTGTTTCCTTGTGGCCGTCGGCTGCGGCTGCTCTCTGCTCTCCCGTTCCTTCTCACGTGGCCCCTCCATCCTCAAAAACCAGCAGTGGTGCCTCGAATCCTTCTCCTGCGTGGAACTCTGTGACTTCCCTCTGCCACCAGCCGGAGAAAACTCCTCTCTCTCAGGGGTCGCGTGACCAGGTCAGGCCCTTATTCAGTCAACCTGCTGTATAATACAACACAGCCACGGAGTGACACCTTGTCATCGTCCTGGGTTCCAGGGTTCGTGCAGGAGTCTTGGGGGCCGTTTTTAGAATCCTGCCTACCACAGTGGTGCATGAAACAATGGCAGATCTTACAGTTGGAGCAGCATGAATTCTTTGGTGTGGAGTAGACAGTGCCTAATCTGTGGGTCTGGGTGAGGTCACCCAGGGAGTGGGTGTAGACAGAGAAGTAAGCGGTTTGAGGACTGGGCCCTGGGACATCCCAACGTCTGGAGCAGGGAGGAGAGGAGGAACCAGCAAGGGGGCCCCGAGAGGAGGGGGCCCGGCAGCTGAGAGAAGGTGGGAAGGGCGACCCCAAGGCACCCCACAGCACTGCAGGGCTGAGGGGTGGCACTGGCCCTCGGGTGTGTGAGCCCCAGGCCCTTGGTGGCCTCCGGAGGACAGGAAGGGGGTCAGCAGCATTGGAGTGACCCCAGGAGGGTGAGCGAGGCGGGAGGAGAAGTTTGCGATCAGGGGAGCAGAGGAAAGAGGGCACCAGAGAGGAATGTGTGACCACGGGAGGGAGGGAGGGTTTGGGGTGTTGGCTTGCAGATCAGGGGTGACCCCGTGACGAGGGAGAGCAGAGTGGGGGCGCTGTGGAGCGGGGCTGAGCGGGCGGGAGGTGCGGGGTCCGGGTGCCCCGAGGAAGGTGGCAGGTGGGCTCCAGGCCTCTGGGAGGCGGATCCTGAGGGGCACATGTGGGGATACCAGCCAGCAGTTACCTGTGCTCCGCGTGAGGGACCCGGGGCTCCTTGAACAAAATCGAATCCAAACTCTCCTAGGTCCGCCACCTTCGTGGCCCACCCAGGTCTGGTGGCGTCTGTGGGTTCAGGCACCGTGTGACCCGTGTGCAGCCCGGGTTACTGGAAGGAGGGCTGTCATGGGCATTTTGGGGCACCAGCACATGACCTGCCTGCCCCCGAGGCCTGAACCCACCCAGAGGGGAGGGTCCTCCCACCAGGAGGGGCTGGCAGCACCAAAGCTGGATGTCTGGCCCCCGCAAGCTGCTCCTGGGGGCGCTGAGAGGGTCTGGGCTGTTCACCTGGGCAGGAGCCCCAGGAAATGGGGAGATCGAGGGCAGGGGTCTGCACACGGAGCGAGCAGTGAGGTCCATGGACAAAGACCCTGTGGAGAAGTAGTGGGGGCTGAGACCTGGAGCCACCCCATGGCCCCAGGGAGGGGCTGGGAGGAGTGGAGAGGCCGGAGGACAGAATACGTCCTGTCCACCCGGGCTCCGTGGCCCCCTGCAGACCCTTCCCCGCCTTCCCTTCCTGGCCCCATGAGTTGGGTGGATTTCTGTTACTGGAGCAGATCCAGCCTTATGCGTGATGGGCCCCATTTCCACAATTTAAATGGCACAACTCTGCTAGTGACGTGGCTCTCGATAAATACCAAATGACACAAAGGAAAGTGTTTCTTAACGTTGTTCATTTTTTCCTATTTTTTGTAACAGTACAGAGTACAAATGAGCAATCTTCCAGGATTCTGGGCACCTAAGGACGGTAAAGGTCACCAAAACAAGTCACACGTTTCTGTTACAATGTTCTAGATGCTTAAATAAAGTGGACACGTCAAAGCGTTATTCTCAACCGACCACATCCAAAGGCCTGGGTAAGGAACCGAGATTGGTGAGGAAACTCTTCCGGCCTCTTTTACTTGGCAGCAAATCCGTCCCCTGTCCACGGCCCCCCAGAACGGCAGAGAGGAGGTGGGTCTGGGGAGGCCCAGGAAGGGTGGTGGGGTCTCTGGGCTGGGGGCCCCAGAGGGTCCACACGGGCAGATGGGCTCTCTCTCCGGGGCAGGGCCACCATGCTGAGGCCTGAGGTTGCCACTGCCTATGCCACCCCACTAGCAGATCGGGGGCAGAGATGAACCCCCCAGCATGTGAGCCGGGAGCCCCGTTGTTGGTCCCAAGCCGGGCCCACGAGCAGAGGGGAGCGCAGAGGCAGGTGGGGACACAGGCACACTCAGCTACTCCTGGGTGAAGGGGCTGAGCTGTGAGGCGCAAGACCTGAATGCATATTTTTCTTTACTAAAGAAAAGATTTAATTCTTTGACAAGGTAATACACATGCACGGTAATTCCAAAGATACAAGACAGCCGGTGAGGCACCCTGCCTGGCCTGGGCCCCGCAGCCAGGGGAGCACGGGAGACAGCCCCTGGGGCCAGCTTCTGTGGACCTGGCCTTAGAAGTTTTATTAGCTTAGTTACTGAAGTAGAAATATAGAATGCTCCCAAAGGGAGCCCACTGAACACGGATTGAACAGCTCCACTCACGGGGGCCCCAGAAGATTCCCTGTGCCTACTGGCCAGACGCCTTCCCCTTCCCCAGCACAGCTCCGCCCGATCTGAACTTTCCATCCTTGGAATCGGCGCGCACACTCGAGCCTGGCTTCTTTCCCTGCAGTTGTGTTTGAGAGCCATGTGATTGTGGCGGGCAGCCAGGGCTAGCCTATTCTTGCGGGAGGCAGGGTGCCTGCCTGGCGTGGCCATCCTCCCGTTGGGGGCCTTTGGGGTGTTTCCAGCGTGGGGCTATGACAGGTAATCCTCCACCGGCATTCTCGCACGAGTCCCTCTGCGAACATGGACGCACATCCTGGCAGCAGCACTGCTGAGTCAGAGGCGGCTGGACATTTGGGGTGAAAAAAGAGGACGCTCTGGAAGATGCTACCTTACTCCAGAGAGTATTTTTGATCCTAGCCAATCTGACAGCGTAAAATGGCATCTAGTGTGGCTTTACTTTGCATTGCTCTTATTCTGAGGCTGGGTGCCTTTTCAGCAGTTTAAGAACATTCTATTTCCTTTGCTCAACGGTGTGTTAATATCCTTTGCCCACTTTTTGTTGATCTCGTTTTCATTTTCAGGATATATCTGTGACTTAAGGAATTTAATCTTTCTTCTTTTTAAAGATTGGTACCTGAACTAACATCTGTTGCCAATCTTTTTTTTTCTTTCTTTCTTTCTTCTTCTCCCCAAAGCCCCCCAGTACCTAGTTGTGGACTCTAGTCGTGAGCACCTCTGGTTATGCTATAGAATTTAATCTTTTGTGTGGCATGTGTCTAGGGACAAAATTTTTCCCTAGTCTTTCCACTTTGCTTGACATGCATACATTTTAAATTTGTGTGTACCCACATGGATAACAGACCATTGTCTTTTACCTGGAGAACTGCAGTAATCTACCTGGACTTTTTACGTCCACCCTCCCCCCGAATCTACTCTCGACAGTGATTCTTCTCAAGCCCAATTCAGGAACTGCTCTTCTTTGCGCAGCCCTCCAGTGGTCTCCCCCTCAGAGGAAGCCCAAGTCCCCCACCGCCACCCCCACTTAAACTTGCGGGGATCACAGATTCCTTCTCACTCCACCAGGCTCTGCCACCTCAAGGACTTGTCCCAGCCCGTCCCTCTGCCTGGAATTTCTTCCTCCCTTCCTTCTGGTGTGATGAATAAATGAAAAGCAATAACAAATATTGGAGGTATGAGGAAGCCATTTGGTTTAAAACTAACTTGGCCTGACCTTGTTTTTCCAGAAAGGCCTGCCGTGGCCTGTCGAGCATGCATTGTTCATCTGCTTTAAACATTTACAACATCCCAAAGCTGAGAAGGATGCCCTTAAAGATATCCCCCCATATCAGCATTTCTTTATAGATAAGCACTTCTTCCCAGAAACTAAGGATTCGTGACAGACCTTCTGTGCTCATCTGGTGACCACTGACCTGCTGTACTAGGAAAGCATCTTGTGACTGTAGTAAGAGTGATATTCCTGTCTTATCTGATGTATGTTCCTTGCTCCAAGACCACATATAACCATCCTGTACACCCCGCTTCTTCCAAGTGCTTCCTTCCTTGGGGAAGGTGGAGCCCTGGCTATAGTCCTCAGATCTGGCTCATATGATAAACTCACTCCAATTTTGATCTGTAGGTTGATTACGGATTATTTGCATTGACAGGTGTCTTCTCAGGCCCCCTTATCCCAGAGGCCCATATGAACAAGGTCCTCGCCCCACTTTGGCTTTTTCTGACAGCACTTACCAGCATGGCTGGTGCGTATGCATCTGTGTATTTCTTCAGACCCCCATCACAGGACAGGAGAGTGTCAGCACTTTTTCTTGGTTATCTCTGCAGCCCTGGCCTGCACTCAAGAAATGGTACTTGATTGAATGGATTCAGGATTTTGTATCCTATTTATGACCTTTTCCACTAAGAAACTTTTCCTATGGAAACTTTCCCCTGCTTTCGACTTTCATCATTTCACTTCCCGCTCCTCCTCCCCGTCCCCAGAGCTCCTCCCCTAACTCCCGCCCCCTCCTCCATCCTCCCGGTCCTTTCCCGCCCACACCCGGCCGCTCCGCCCCGCGGGAGGCCCTGCGCAGGCGCCCTAGAGCGGCGCGCGGAGACCTGGGAGCCGGCGGGGGCGGGGCAGCCGAGGGCGCAGGCCCCAACGGCCAACGCGGCCGCGCGGGAACTCGTGCGCCAGGCCCCGCCCGTGGTTTGAACCGGAGGCCCCGCCCCCGAGCTCGGCCAATCAGCGGGCGGGGCGGCCGGCGCCATGGCGACTCTTTGTGGGCGTGGAACGGCCCCGCCCCCGCCCCGCCCCCTGCAGGCCCCGCCCCCTCGACCGGCCCCTCCCTCGGCGGCGGGCGCGGGCGCGGGCGGCCAGGTGAGCGTCCGGCCTGGGCGGCGGCGGCCAGGTGAGCGTCCCGGCCCTGGTGGCGGGCGGCGGGCCTTGTGCGGCGGAGGGGCTGCCCCCGGGCCGCGTCCCCGTCCCCGCTGGCCGGGCTCCTCCGCCTCGGCGGGCCCGGGGAGGACGCGCTGCCGAGCGTGGGAGGCCCTCGGCCGGGGGCGGGGGATGGTCGGGGTGGGGGGAGCTGGGGAAGGCCGGCTGGGGGGAGGCAGAGGGGGCGCGACCCGGAGGACCGGCGGCCCCAGCCCGCACGACGAGCCATCCCCGACTTGGGGATTGCCTCTCGTGCTGTCCTGCACCATTTTAATCAGAAAGTAACCCTTCCTTGGCTTTAATGAAATTGGGGGCTCTTTTTAAGAGGAGAAACACTTAAGTTGGGCTTATTGGTCTCCGCCGGGAAGCCCCCACACCGTCTTCCTGCATTTGGCTTGGAAAAGGTCTGTGTGGGCTCCTCCTGCACTTTTAGCGGTGACCCCCTCCTGGCCCCCACGAACCCCCCTCCCCCCCATGAAGACCTGTGGGGACCCTGATGGAGCCTCTTGTCTGGCCGACTGGAATTTACAGCCTAGCCTAGAGTGACCCGTGGCTGCCCTCCTCTCTCACTTATCCGTCCATCCTTCCTTTCATCCACCCGTCCATCGTGATCTGTCGCGGCTCTTTCTAGCTTTCCTTCCTCGTCTGCCTTCCTTGTAGAAGGAGGAGTGGATGGTGGATGTTGGCAATGGCACACTTGAATTTATTTTAGGTCCTTTTAGCAAAACTGGGTTGGTAATGTAATGCCTTCCAAAATGGCCTAGCCTGGGGCACCCTTCTCTGGAACCCTGGAGGGCGGGGTGGCCTCCCTGTGGTGGGCTGCCTGCCTGTGAGTGTTCAGTTGAGTTCTTTTCCCTTGTCTCTTGGTTTTAATTGCTTTGAAAAGCAATCTTAAGGCTATTTTGCAATGGTTTCCCTTCCCCATACTGCAGTCGACCCAACTTCTCTTTCAGCCGGTCAGGAAATGTCAGGGAGTGAACGATGCCGGCCTTGGGTGGTCTGAAGCTGGCGCTCTGCCTGCGCCTGCAGTCCGGCCTAAGCTGCCTCATCCACGGAGACTGACGTCAGGGACGACGGGAGGAGGATGTGGGAAGAGGAGAGTTCCCAGACCCAGACACAAGTGAAGTGTCTTCACTGGGCTCCTTGTGCTGGCCCTGCCCTACCGCACAGTCAGACGGGGAGGCGGCGGTGCTCAGACTAGGAAAAGTACCAGAAACACTTTCCAGAAGTCAGAGGCAAGCTTAACTCTCATTTACAAAAGCTTATTGTCCCCAAAATAGGATGACCGGGAAAGAGTCTACCAGGTAGCAGTTTGCTGGGCGATGCTGTGGGCCCAGTGGAGGGCGTCCCGGCTGCTCTCCTCTTCTGCTGGGCTGTGTGCTGCTGCGAGGACAGCAGGACTGAGTCAGCCCTTCTTTTTAAAGGAGCCAAGAAAAAAAATGGCCTGTTTACAGAAAGAGCAGCAGGTTTTATCTCCGGGGAGGGCTGGGAAGCTGCCCTCAGCTTGTTAGTAGCCGTGTTTCCAGGCAAAGAAGGTTTGTGTGTTTCCTTCCAGGTCATGAAGGCGCCTGGGATGAGCTGGTTAGTAATGGCCGTGAACACTCAGGCGGCCGTGGGGTGCTGAGCCCCACCCCAGCTCAGGCGCAGCGCTTCTCAAGACATCACCACGCTTACTGCATCTCCTGCTGTTCTTCTCTGACGAAGGATTTCAGAGCAGATCATGTGACAGAAACTGAGAGTGTCGTGTTGATTTGCCTCAAAAACCCAAGACTCACGAGAGTGCTTGGCAGTGGCTGGAGTTCAGGGTGACGGTCAGGTCAGAGCCGAGTCTGCCCCAGCCCTACCTCCTGCTCCAGGAAAGGCCAGCTGGCCATGCCACGTGCGGGGTCCAGGCTGTGGTCCCCTTTGCCTTGGGGTGCTCTGGGTGGGCGGGCACAGCACCCTCCCTGGCCCCACCCGCCATGTGGAATCTCTCAGTCCGTCTGTCCCTCTTTGTTTTCCTCTGTCTGGTCAGCGCTTGGTCTGGAGAAGGCCTCAGGGCAGTGCTGTGCATTGACTGAGGGCTAAACCCTGACGCCCGGCTGTCCCTGTTGGCAGTGGAGGGTCTCCGAGCGGAACACGGTTAACCCTAGGAGTCAGTGGGGTTGAGGTATTTAGCTGGATACTCGGCAAGACCCTCTGGCCAACTGTGGAGATCACAGAGGGGTCATACCTGACAGGTTTTTGTTCAGAACTTACTGGTGAGTCGGGTTCTGCAGTTAGGACAGACTCGGAAGTGTGGGGCCTTGTGTCACCCAGTGTTAGAGGGTCAGGCACCTTCAGGCCACTGTCACACGGCCCACAGGGAGCCATTCCCAGCCTCTGCCCTTCAGACAGGGTCATCTCTGAGGGTCCCTTCAGAGCCAGACTCCGTGCTAACTTTGTCTCACACACAAACGTCTGAGGGGGGCGATGCTCGAAGGCCACCTCCTCCTGGGCTCAGCCCGACCCCTAACCCGAACACAGGCCCTGGGTGACAGCACGTCGGCCCGGGTGACGGACGAACTGCCCTTTTTGTGGTAATAAGTCTGCCCATATTTTCTTGTATTGACTATAACAAAAATGAACGGTTACTTAGGCTTTGGCCCACTGGAAAGCGTAAGTTAGGATGACTGACCGTGTGTTTGTCCTGGCACGCCGAGGGTGATCGGAGCGCTCAGTGAGGTGCACGGAAGGCGCATCTAAAGCAGTTTTAGATTTCATATGGAAGCCGTGCCATCAGCTTGTTTGTTTCTGTATTTTTGTTTCTGTTCAAGGTGTAATTTGATCCAATGACCTGCACAGGTGTTAGCAGTGCGGTTCCGTGAGTTCTGACAGATGCGTGCGTACCCTTGTGCCACCCATGTGCGCATCTAGATGTGTGTTTCGTCGTCCTGGAGAGTCTCTGATCCTTATTCCCCCTTGGCAACCATTCTGTTCTTTTATAGCTCAGGTTAGCTCTGCCTGTTCTGGAAGTTCCATCAGTCAAATCGTCGTTCTTGCTCTTGGACTCAGCCTGGTGTTTGGCATCCCTCTTGACACATGGTCATGGTTTGTGTTGCTGAGTAGTATTCCCTTGTCCAGTACCCCGCAGGGTACCCATTCAACGTACTTATTTTAAATCTTAAAGTAATGTTTCCACCTGGGGTAATGAAAAAGGCTAATGGTGGAGGCCGGGCAGGAGCGGTGGGGTGGGGAAGGCTGTAGCAGGTGCTGGTTCCTGGGGAACGGGAGGAAGAGCTTACCAGCAAAGGGAAAGAACCAACGCGGACGGAACTGGTGGAGGCTGCGTTGGTCCCGCCTTCCTAGAAGGCAGCTCGACAATGCGCGTCATGTACCCAGAGTTAGACTCCGCATCCTGTACCTGGGAAGACGGGACACAGGGTAAACGCTGTGGACATCAGCTCAGTACCATGTTCTGTGTTTACACGTTGGGACTAGTGCGCAGCTGTCAGAAGTGGTGAGAAACTTTTATGTGACGTGGAAAATGTGATAAGCAAGAGAAGCTGAGGGCCAGCCCAGTGGCGCAGCGGTTAAGCTTGCACATTCCCCTTCAGTGGCCTGGGGTTTGCCAGTTTGCATCCTGGGCATGCACCTACGCACTGCTTGTCAGGCCATGCTGTGGCAGGCATCCCACATATGAAGTAGAGGAAGATGGGCACGGATGTTAGCTCAGGGCCAGTCTTCCTCAGCAAAAGGAGGAGGATTAGTGGCAGATGATAGCTCAGTGCTAATCTTCCTCAAAAAAGTTAAATAAAATTTAAAAAAAGAAGAAAAGAAAAGCTGAACTTGCAGTGATCTCCCAAATTCACAGAGAAGAAAATGCTCAGGGGAAACACTGGAAGAATGACCCTGGGTGATGACCCTGAGTGGTTGGGGCTGAGGGGGTTTTGTGCTTTTTGATACTTTTCCCAATTCTCTGCAGTGAGCTGCAGAAACAAATGGAGGGAAGCTGGGGAGAAGGGCAAAGGCTCATTGTTCACAGCTGCTGCCGCCTCCAGGATCCTTTACTGTGCTGTTACACGCACACGTGTGGGTTGTTACTATGTGTGTACATAGTACATCTGTGGACGTGTCTATAATGTACACATGTAATACATATTACATGACGTGTTAAAATGTTTCCTACATACAGAAACCTTCTTTATAGGACAGAGGGGGCTTGGGGGCACCTGATGGGGTCCTGGGGAGGCGGGGTGTCCGCGATTGCTGGGAGTGCATTGGGCTCTCTCTGGTCCATCCTAAGTCACTGGGGGCGAAATCATTGAAGCCGGCAGTCGCTGACCAGGCCCGGAGGTTTGGGGCGATGCACGGGTGGCTGTTCACTCCTGGACTGTCCTGGAGACTGAGGTCTGACATCCTGCAGGTCTGAGTGCAGATAGCAGGCTGCTGCCCCCCGGTCCCGGCGGTGACCGCTTGGCTGCCTGGGTGGTGGCTGCAGATGCAAGGTTGGCGTCCTGGATGGATGCAGCCGTCATCCCTGTGTGTGTTCAGTCTCAGAGCGAATATGAATGGGGCGCTCGCTCTCTGGGCTGGCTTTTCCCGGCAGCGATGTGTTCCT